GAGAGAGAGAGAGAGAGAGAGAGAGAGAGAGAGAGAGAGAACAGTCACATTTCAGTGATGAGTGACATAATAGTCACTGTTACTGCAGAAACCTTTTATTGTCCTGTTAAACATGGAAATTAAAACATTTTGAAACTTCAATCCACTTCTGCAGATATCAGAAACAGTTCATTACATTTTAGGATCATTTGAAAAATAAAGCGCCTACAAAAATGGTGCCTAAACACAAAAAGGAATCAGCAGTTCAAGGTAATCCTGTAGAAAACTGAACTTCATTAAAACGTTACCATAAAATCAAAACAAAAATTTAATTCAGTATAAAAATGTGTAACAAACATTGATCCAATGAGGATTTTTAGAAACAGGTCCTGTAAAATAAAGTAGAACCTCAGGGTCACACTCTGTCAGGAGAATAACTTTTAGTTGTTAATATTATTTTATCAACTAAAACTTTAAACCGGCGGCACGGTGGCTCAATTGKTTGAGCTGATGCCTCTCAGCGAGAAGKTTGCCAGTTCAAATCCCGGCCCGGGGACCTTTCTGTGTAGAGTTTGCATGTTCTCTCCATGCRTGCGTGGGTTCTCTCTGGGTACTCAGGCTTCCTTCCACAGACCAAAAACATGACTGTAATTGATAACTCTAAATTGTCCCWAGGAGARAGYGAGYGAATGGTTGTTTGTCTCTATGTGTGGCCCTGTGATGGCACTGCGACCTGTCCAGGGTGTACCACACCCCTCACACTGTGACTGCTGGATRTGAGCACCAGTGACCCTGAAAGGAAAAAGCGTGTACAGAAAATGGATGGATGGAGAATTTAAACCCCCATTTATTTGGCCAGTTTTCAACAGATATAACTGCTTCTTGTAACATTTTAACTATGAACTTTAGGTTTTTCCCTCTTTTCCACAGCACCCCATCATCAGCAAATAATGATTGGCCGCATTCCATTTTCATTTTCATCGAACATGTCATCATTTGTTATAGAAAATAATAAAGGACTTTTTATGCTCCCCTGTGGTGTCCTGTTCTCTGACATTTTATTGGAATAATTTTGTCTTGTTCTCAACCGCATTTGTCTTTCTAAAAYAACATTTTTATCCRTTTATACATTRGATCATTGAWYCTCAATCTTTAAAAGTTTATCAAGWAACYCTCTCTCCACATATCATATGGGTTTTTTATGTCAAAAATACAGTGACAACCAGCAACTATCTGGCACAAGTTACATTATATTATAAAGCATCATAAAGCTCAGCTGACATCAGGGAGATGAGATTCAGCTGTGGAGTTCTGCTGCTGAACAATCAGGATATTGCAGGAGTAAAGCACAGGGTTACCACAATATCAAGTTTGGACTGTAAACAGAACAGACCCAGAGTGTAGAAAGAAGTGAGGAGTACATGAACACTTAACCAAATAAACAAAATGACTGACGTGACAGCACTGCTCGAAAATCTAACAAAAATCATTTGACCAGGAAAACAAGAGTTTACAGAAACTGAATTATCAGATTACTCATTACAGAAGACAATACTACCAGGCTGAACAGCAGAGGGAGCAAAGAGTAAAAATAGACCAAAAACTCATTGACACAACCAGAAACAGCTGAGCCTTGGATGGGCAACTTCAGTGATGGAAAGGGACACATTTTTTGTGTTGACACTATGCCACATGCTGCTGCACACTTACCCAAATGTAAGAAAAAATAAACATACTGTAGTAAACTAAAGTGTAGCCTTGAGTGCATGTACCATTCGGAAAGTATGATGATCGTCTTCATTCCGTTTTTAAATCTTCCACTGTCACATTCTAATAGGTCATGTTCAAGTTGGTACATGTGGATTAGGATTTAGACAAAACACAATTCAGGAAGATAACCATGACTTCATAAGACATTTTTGTTCTGAAAAATAATTTTATAAAAAGTAAGCAAGTAGGAAGAAGAAGACAAAAAGGAAGAGGAGGAAAACACTTAAAATTCAAAATGACTAACAGGAAATGTTTAAAGGGCAACAAACCTCTACCTAAGAAAGAATTAAACAGTGAACAATCATTTAAAAGCACAGGCTTTCATGAATATGTTCTAACATGATGCAGTAACTTTTAGAGATATTTAAAAACTCCATCCCAGTGACTGTAAAAACTGAGAAAAATATGATGTGATGAGTCATTTCTAACCCTCTGACGTTTGAACATTTTCAGTCAGAATTTCTCTCCACAAAAGGTTTTGATCAATAAAAGCGACTTCAGTTACTATAAACATGTTTTTGTATCAAAACCGCTAGAAATAATTTCTTTTTTTTTTCTGACGTACACTTTTCTACCTTTTAACTTTTACTTTCAACAAGTCTTTTGGAGTAAAWTTTTTTTAACATACTTTATTATAACATACTTTTATTTATTTCATTTAAAAACAAAACAAATTCAAATACAAAAAATAAATATCAAACAAAGGAAAGGTAGCAGAAAGAAGAATTTTTTGATTGATCTCAGCTGAACTACAGATAAAATATTAATGCAGAAAAGTTTATTTTTTTCCCCATTTTGTTCATATTTAGCATCAGAATTTCTCAGCTGCCTATCAGTGTTATTACAATGTTCCAGTTTTATTTGTTCATTATTGTTTAGCTGAATTATCACTACTGGGCGATCAGCACTGAAAATGACCAACAACTGCACCACAGAGCAGACAGGTGGGGCCAGATCTGGTGTCACTGCTGGCTGGGATTTAGTCTGGGGTAAATCTGATTTTGGTCAAGAATTAGATGATATATGGACTCCACTGATGAAGAATGATTTATTTACATGTATGGTTGCTTATTTAAATGACTTACGTAAAACTGATGAAATGAAGAATATTTGGTTATGCTGACTAAATGATGGAATTATCAAGTTTTGATTTCTCTTTAAGGTTATCAGCCTAATTATTATCATCTACAACATTTACTCAAAATCCTTTTCTAGATTCTCTGACAATCGACCTTTTCATAAAAAAAATAAAAGGATGAAATGAATGAACTAAAAATAAAATAACTTGACAATGTCTGTGATGGTTATCAGTGCTGTGCAAAGAATGAAACTTTAATAATTTTATTATTATGCACAAAATTAATAAATCACTCAAAGATGCTTAGAGTATTTTCAAGTTTCATGTAAAAAAATCAATGCATTTTCAAAAACTTTCAACCAATAAGACGAGGCAAACCTGTTGTGCTTTTGTAGGCTACTAATTTTGCTTTACGGGTATCTTTTTCTAATGAATTAATTTCAGCAGATAAAGCAGTTAACGTGTTGTATATACAGATCAGTGACAGAAGGGAACTTTCTTGCAATCACAAAAGCCTCTACTTTTCCTTTTTTTGTTCTCAGCAACTATTGAAACCTTAAATTGTAAATGACTTATCTGAAATGAATGTGAGCGTTGAAATATTTATACTTTGACTCAGTGTTCACCAGCTCTAACAAGGCGCGGTAAAATACTTATATATTTACCTGAACATTTTGAGTAATGTCTTTGCATTCCAGATACTGAGTCTTAACTAGTTTTGTGTCCTAATATCAGAGCAAACGGTTCTGCCTAACAGATGATGAAGCTGACACTCTGTGACCTTTGTTGTGGTGATGCCATCAGGCAAACTGTCATCATCTAGGACCTCTCAGGGTTTGATTGACAAGAAGTCTGTCAGAGATCTGCTTCCTCTCAAGAAATATGTCACAGCTGCTAATTAAAGGTAACCCTCTGACCTTTTGTCTAAATCCACTCTGATAAAATGCTCAAAACACTCATAGGAGCCTTTCCTTTGTTGTCTACTGACCCAACACACACATTTACATTTTGTTTCATCAAAATGAGTTTTTGGCCTTTTAACTCAGTCCCTGCACCACAGAGTCTGAGCTGATCCTTATCTTACACAAATTTTAACCCTTTAACCTCTCGAGACCTGAGCTTTTGTTTGAAGTGCATCTTTTCGTTCTCCAATTCGCATGGGCTTAGTAGGATCTAGCTGCTGTAGAAGAGACTGTTTATCTTGTTTCCCGAGAAGCAATACTTTTTTCCAGACAGCGAGGATTTGTTATTGATTCCACAGGGAATTACCACTGATTCCGACAGAGATTGCATATGTGGACAGGAGTGTTTCTCAGCCCACACACGCAGAACCCGCAGCGATTGCCTATCAGCAGGGCCGTTTGTTTGCGTCCGCTAATTCGACAGAATGACAGATGGAGATGTTGACAAGAAGCAAGAAGAGGCTGACGATGACTGAGGGAAAAATTGATGGAGACACAAAGAGGATGACGGATGATCCGGTCTGAAATAGAGAGTGCTCTGTGAGAATGATGCTGCTGGCTGCAAACTGCCRCCATACATCAACAGCAGCGACGCTGCGAGCAGGGAGCAGGATTTAGAACAGGCCTGCTCTGTTTGAACACAGACAAACACACACCTGGACCTGTTCAGCTTTGTTGTGTTGCAGCTTCTTTTTTTATCACCCACTGTGGAAATGTGAAGTGTAGGCAAGGCAGTCTGTGTTTGTATGATTGTCTGTTAGCAAAATATTTCATCAAGCATAGGGTGGATTTTAACAAAACTCTCAGAGATTATTCACTAGGTGTACATCTACAATTGATTAACTTCTGGAGTCAGCTCAATACAATATGGCCACCATAAATAAACAAATTTAACTAATTAGAAAGTGGTTATAACTCAATCATTTTACAGAT